AACTGGGAGCAGGTTTACACCCGGACAGGTGAGTCCTCCTCCGTCCCTGAGCTCAGGTAAGGCTCGGCTTAAGAAAAAAAAGGCAAATGTGCGTCCGCAGATAACGGGAGTGTGTGAGTGTATGTCTCTGTTCACACGCACACGCAGAGTCACAGAGGTGGGTCCCGGAGCTGCACAGGTACTCATTTAAGAAGCAGGAAACAAGCACAGCGCGCATGCGCGACAGAAATAACGGTGACAACAAAAAGTGCAAAGAGAGAGAGACAGAGACCAGCTCGACCGGTTCTCTATTTCCATTCCGCTTTAAGGTGTGTGTCTCTGTGTGTGTATGTGTGTGTGTGTGTTTCCAAATATATCCCAGGTTAACGGTCAAATAACATTGACTAAACGTTAATCATGTGACAGTTGCTCAGGCTTGGTCCTGTCCGTGGCTCGGTGACGATTAACGGTTAAATTAGTGATTTGTGATTTTGTTAGTTTTCAGAAATATGTCGACTATCTGGGCGAATCTGAGTGTTTGAGGAATCTAACATTAAAATCGAAAGATTTCAGACTAGTTCATTTCAGTTTTATAACTGTTCGTCAATGCACGGTAAATGTACTGGCTTTTTAACGGTTATTTATCTATTTCATTCTATCTATTATTTTCTTCCGTTAAAACAGGCATTGGACTATGTGGATAAACAGTTTTTATGTTAATTTAATAGAATGGTCATTTACTGATGGATCTAAGAACAGTCTGTAAACTGATGTACACAGTCAGGGTTCTGTAATTAAAACAGTTTTCATTTCTAGAATCATTTAAGTTCCTATTTACTTTGTGGTTTTCAGGTGTCACAGCTGCTGTTCTGACATTCATTCACGTCTGCAGTTTATTATGAGATGTTTTTTCTGAATGAAATTTATCTTCTCCAGCTTCCTCCCATAGTCAAAAAAACAAAAACAAAAAAACAAAAACAAAACAAAACTGCAGATTGTGTTAATTCTTCACACTATTCTGACCACAGTTGTGAATGAGTGTGAATGGCTTCAGCTTGGTCAGTGAATGTTGGTTGGTGTTAAACCTCAGCTCCATGTCGCTGATTCTCCAACATCAGTAGACCATTATTTCCACCAGAACCTTCTCATCTCCCTGGTTTTTGTCACGTTGTCGGTTGTTTTTTTCTCCTCCTCTGAGTTTCTCAGCTTCACTGAAACCATTGGGACCACAGATTGGGAGTTTCTCTCACCTTTTCAGAGTCTTCTTAATTTGTTATAGGCCGCTTTCCTTGTTGAGGTTTCTGTGATGAGCTCAACTGGACTGTAGATCTGAGTAAAAGTGGTCATGTGATCAAAATTTTCCCAGGTCTCTTCAGTTTCCCATGATGCTCTGCACATGGTATAATCTATAGAATTGTAACGGGAAACACGTTTGCTACAAAAAAACAACCACACACACATATATATAAACATATACATATACATATATACTGTATATACTCAACAACCTCTCCACACACCTGAAAAATGAATAGACTGGGGGGGGGGGGGGGGGGGGGGGGGGGGGGCAGTGATGACGGGCCATACCAGCATGGGGTTAAGGGAAGAGAAGGAGAAGAAGAAATGTTTCATCCCCAGTGAAATGAGGATGAAAGGAGACAAAGATGTGATCATAGTGATGACTTCTGTGATTGGACTGAACTCCATGTTTCTCCAGCTGTGGGCTCACTTCTGTCATGTTGGTGTCAGTAGAGAAGAACAACAGCCAGAACAGTGAATACAGGAGTGAATGAATGTATGAATGGTATGTGGCCCGAGCAGTTGGAGGAGTTTGGGCAGATCAGCTGCTCTGACTATGAACAACACTGGAACACTTTCTGTCACTGACACCCTGACTGTTTTCACTTCTCAGACAACAGTAATGATGATCTTTTTAAACATAAACACTGATCAGCTGAAACAGCTGCACCTGTTCTTTTGCGTCTCTGTTCTTTTGCACCAAAATGGTATTGATCATGTGACTTACCTCAGACCTGGGAACGTGTGGTTTACATAAATGGATTCAAATGGTGTCAAAAAGATGTTCTACAAGGTTCAACAGCCTTTATTACTTTTCACAGTGAGCTGAAAAAAAGGTTTTTAGTTGTAATAATTTGATGGCACATCTACAGAAAAGAGCTGCACTGTACACTAGCTAAACCAGAACTACGGCCTCACCTCCTCCTCCTACTCCCTCACTTACCTTTTTTGGATTGTACCTCCTTTTCCTGCTGCTACTGATTTTCCATATTTAAAGACACAGACCAACATGCACACACAGGTGTCCTGTTACCTGCATTGAAAATGAAAGTAGATCAGTACAGCCTGGCAGCAGGAAATGCAAACACACACAGGAGTCAACAGTAAATACGTGAGTAAATATATTTAAAACAGCACTTTTAAAACACAAAGTGCTTTATAGGAAGGATACAATGCAATAAAATACAGAGACCAGGAAACAGTGGCATAAAAACAGGTAACTTCACAGAGGCCCCAGAACATCAACATTAAAAAACAAGAAGCTTAGCATAAAGATGGAAGGAAACGAAGGTTATGATGGGCTAACTAGGTTAGACCTAATAAGGCATGAGTGAGCTAAGGTGGACTGTAGGTTTGTTCAATTTGTGCTAGCAATGTCACAGAGAGCTACTGTAATCTAAACTAGGTCTGGAACAACTGGAATAGGTAAAATTAGACTGACGTATGCTTGGGTAGCCTTGGACAGGTTGCCAGATTGACTAAAAAGGTTGGCTAAGTAGGTGAAATTAGGCTGAGTTGAAATGGCTAAACCACATTAGTCTAGTTTAGACCCATCTTAACTTAGCTAGTCAGCTTTAGTCAAGGTTAGGTCTTAGGTCTCAAGGATTAGATGGGATTAAAAATATCATAAAAACACAAGAAATGAAAAAAGCAATTGTAAAAGCAACATAGTGCAGTACTTTTAGCCACTGTGTCCAGTGTCTTTCTTTGTGTTGTTCATGAGACCTCTGTGTGCTTGCTTTTCTCAGAGGGAGACTCATGCACATGCACACTTGTGCTGTTTTGCATGTTACTATTAGACAACAGCTGCACAGAAAACGCCGGTATTTTTTTTGTCACTCACTAACAAACGCTGACTCTATCATAAAAATTCCTGGCGCCAAAAGTAGTAGTTTTCAACTATAAAATGGCTCCTTTCAAGTTTTGACACTTAGGTATCCTTAAAAGCTTAGAGACCACAAGGGGTCAGCATAAACCGCCCTGCTTCTCACACGATGCGAAACGGAAGGATTTTCCCTTTCTAAAAAACTGTATTATCAGAGTAGAGAACAAACCTCGGTTACAATATGCATTCAGTGTCAGAAAATATAAAAGAAGTTTAAAAATACGCTGTGTCTATTTTACGTGTTTAATATACACATGTTTGCATAATTGCCAAGAAGTCAAAGGCAAAGATGTGTATCTCTTACTTTTCCAGTGTAATTATGGTGTAATTGTGATATATATTTATAATAATATATCTGTACATGTACACATGAGCATATACTGTATATTTACTTTGGTCGAAGTGTAGAAAATAAGTGTTCTTATTTTAAATGTATTTCCACCAAATTACTTACGTAATTTTTTAAATTTAATTTAATTAATATTCATATACTGTATATTTATATTGTTTTTATATTTTGTCAGAACTTTGAAATAATTTAAAAATATTATTATAATAATTTGAAACAATTTCTACATTGTTCTCTATTCAATATTGTTACTACTTTATTGCTTGTTACAATTATTGTTAATGCTTAATGCTACGTATGTTTCTTTTTAATGACAAACATGAGGTCAAAGAGCTTTAATATTCCGTAGAAGTCACTGGATGAACCAAACCCCTAAGACCACCTCAGCACTCTTAAACAGACGCACGACGTTAAAGTAAAACCGGTAGTGAGGTGCTTTAACACTTCCGGTTTTTTGCACACGATTCAGTCCTTCCGTCTTTGCCTCTCCATTTGCAGTGAACCGTTATTTGGGTACGGAGTCGCAATGTCCTCGCAGACCAGGAAGAGGGGAATTCTGCAGGACAAGAAGAGAAGCATTCCGAAGGATAACGGGGAGCAAATAAATGCGGTGGACTCAGTGAAGCGCCAGTGCCCCGACAGAGCCCGGAGACACGTCGCTGCTCTGATCCTGGCTAGGGGAGGCAGCAAAGGCATCGTCCTGAAGAACATCAAGATGTTAGCCGGGATTCCGCTCGTCGGCTGGACGCTGAGAGCAGCGATAGACGCTAACGTTTTTGACAGGTGAGAATAATCTAGAATGCACACTGTTCTAACAACGGCCATACATAAAAGACTGCAAGAGTTCAGCTCAAAGTTTAAGTAAACAGAGTTTTTCAGACTTGATTATAGTTTAAAATCAAACACTGTTAAAAGTTACTTTAAGGCAGTGCCTTAAAGCTACATGTTGTCCGTAATGTAGCTATTGGGTCTGGTGGTTTATGTTGAAGCAGCATCAGGAGGAGGTTGTTTGTGTAGAAGAAAAGTCAAGATTTTCCTTTTCCAGTGTGTGGGTCTCCACTGACCACGATGAGATCGAGAAGGTGGCCAAATCTTTCGGAGCTCAGGTCCATCGCAGAAGTCCTGAAGTTTCCAAAGATTCTTCTTCATCACTGGAAACTATTCAGGAGTTTCTCCGACTCCACAAAGGTCAGCTTGTATAACTTTAAATTTAGGTGAAAAAACGAACTTCATTGTAGCTTTTCACTTCTGTTTCGCTATAACCTTTAAACTTCCGACTCCAGGGGTTTTTAAAACATGTTATGTGAATCCCCTGAGAACTACCACAGCACTTCAGGGGGAAGGAAAATCTCAGCCGCAGTCATGAGGAACAACCGTGACTATAAAAATTATATTTCTATTACATGTATCTGAGTATTTATTTGACGTCTGTAACAAAAAGTCCATGACATTCATGCCTTGAGAAGTGAGTTGCACAGAGAGCTGCAATACTGAGTGACCTGACATATTCCCAGGTCTCTTCAGCATGTGACCATAACATTTATACCATCTACTTTAGATAAGGACTGGGTGGAGTGAGAAAGGAGAATGATTTTATTACTGCAAAACAACAGGATGTAGGACTATGATTATTTGAAGTTTGGATTTTCATGCACTAGTGTTTTTTTAAAAGGAGGATGATACTGCAATATTTATGAATGTGTTAGTGTTTGTGGTTAGATTTCTGTGGGTTTGGGAATGGAGCGGCCTTGTCATTGTGCTCCTTGGAGGGAAGCCAACATTTTGACATGTGGTAATGACTGTTATAATCTGTAACCAATAATGTAATCAGGACCACATTCAGATTTTCTCTTTGGACTATTTAACGTCAACTGCTTTAACAACTGAGCTTTTCTAAAAACTGATGTTGCAGAGGTCACATTTCATTGTGTGTCGTGGTGTGCTGTGTCACAATGACAAGGAGTTCCCTTTCCTTCCTTCATCCTTTCCTTCCAGTATGTTTTTGGGAAAGTGGGGCCTGCTAGTAAGCAGAGCAGATCAGCACGCTTTTTGAAAACGTGCTCCAAAAACCAGTTTTCACGTTTTATTTTCCAGCCTTCTTTTTTAGCTTGAACTGAGCATTTCTAAAAACTGATGGTGCGGCTCATCATTTCTTAGCAGAAGGGATCATTGTTCTTGTTTATCCTCAGAGATAGACGTGATCTGTAACATCCAGGCGACGTCTCCGTGTCTCCAACCCTTCCATGTAAAGGAGGCTCTGGAGATGATCACGCTCCACGGCTACGATTCAGTTTTCTCCGTGGTCAGGAAGCATCACTTCCGCTGGGAGGAGGTGAAAAAAGGAAGTGAGTGTGAAGAAGAGTTTGTTGGTGAAGTCAGAGAATACAACTGTCTAAGTATTTGTCGGTTGCTTTTCTTCAGGCGGGAACCACACCAGACCTTTGAACCTTGACCCAACCAACCGACCTCGGCGCCAGGACTGGGACGGAGAGCTGTGTGAGAACGGCTCCCTGTACTTCACCACCAAAGACGTTGTTGTGAACAAAGGCTCTCTCCAGGTGAATGAAGACACCACAACAGTTTGGACCTCTGGGTTTGTCCTGCTCTGTGTCTCAGTGTTTGTCTTCTGCTTCCTCCGCCGTGTCCTCAGGGAGGTGTAGTTGGATACTATGAGATGAAACCTGAGTACAGTGTGGACATTGACGTGGACATAGACTGGCCTGTAGCAGAGCAGAGGGTTCTGAGGTCAGATTTGACTTGTTTGATGACATTTTTTTGTCTGTTAAAATATTGAAAAAGGTTTTTAAATGTTTTCTCAGATGTCTTCTCAGAACCGAGACAAGACGGAACTCTTCTAAACCCCTGTTGAATCTGTTTTCTTCTCTTTTGGTCTGCTTCATCACCTCGTCCTCCTCCTTCCACAGGTACGGTTACTTTGGTCAGGTCACTCCAGAGGTCGTCCGTCTGATGTTCTGCAGCATCTCTGGCTGTTTGACAGATGGAAATATCCTCATGTCAGCATCAGGAGAAGAGATGGTGTCCATTCAGTACAGAGACACCCAGGGCCTACGGATGCTGCAGGAAGAGAAGGTGGAGGTAAACCTGATGCTTCACACCACCTACTCTCCACCCCAAAGTAGATCAGTGAAGACCGAGGGCCTCATTTATCAACGGTGCACAGTTCTAAATTTAAAATGTGTGTTAAACAATTCTGTATTTATCAAATGTGCAGATCTCTTTCAATGGCTTCTATTTGTAGTTTCACTGTTCTACCCAAGGTTCAACGCTGTGATCAAATGTCAGCACATTTCTAAGCACTAGTACAAGTTGATCAGTTCCAAACCTTGCGTGGGAATGTTGGTACACACTCTTTGCACTCTTCTGAGTACACACAGTTGATAGATGAGGTCCCCAGTCTGTCTCCCACAGCCATCGCTATGTTCTGACTCCTACTACCAGGTGGTGCTGTTGCAGTCCAGCCTGGACCCTCTGTCCCAGGAGTTGGCAGACAAACTGTCCAAGAGGACAGGCTGCCAGGTTCTGCAGGTGGGGGAGAGACCACTGAATGATCTGCAGAGCTTCGTGGAGCAGAGGAAGCTAGAGTGGAAGGATGTGGCCTACATGGGTAGGATCTTTGTACCTCTTTCTTTGAACAACATTACGTGATTTGTGAGCCGTCTTTTTGTTGACTTTTAGAAATGTTTGGGCAAAAGGTTTTAACTAAATTAATTTAATTCATAGTTTGTAACATAGATGTAGTTTTGTCATTTCTTCACTTGTCTCGTCTCCTCCTCAGGAAGTGACAGGGCCGATGTCAACTGTCTGAACCTGGCTGGTCTGAGTGCAGTGCCTGGAGATGCTCCAGAGGTGGTGCTGAATGCTGCCAAGTACACCTGCCACAAAGATGGGGGAGCAGGAGCCGTGAGGGAGTTCTCTGAGCACATACTGCTGCAGAGGCAGAAAGCTGAGTCGGCACTGAAGCAGGATCGCATTGATTCATGTAGCAAATAAGAAGAAAACCAAACAAGTGTTTATGTTATAGTGATATGAAAAGGTAGTGTGAAAGGTCAAAGGTCAAGACTCACAGTGTGTCTTTGATTTTCACACAGCCACCAGATAGTGATTGCATTTCTTAAAGGAAGTAATTTCAAACCCCAAAAAACATTACAGACATGAGAAACTTTTGATTTACCTGTAACTCTGAATGCCTCTGCTCATGTGACCTTTATGGAAGATTTCTGTTTTTGTTCCAGTTTTGAAACTGGCATTTCCTGTGTGGAGACTGAACTCTGTACCAGGAACCACTCAAAATTCATTTAAAATTAAGAGAACCATGTGGGCTCTCCTGACTGGACCTAGGTTTAGTAACAAGGAATAGTACCAGGAACTGCATGTGGTTTTCTTAAACAGTACCAAGAACCACAGACTTACAGGAACTAAGTGTGTTTTTTGCTGCAGGAACTCATATCTGGATCAAGTAGCAGGACCAGCACAATTTGGTATTACACCTGCAGGAACTAGTACCAGCTAGAGACAGTACCAGCAGGTATGTGTATAAGCAGAGCAGGAAATATCCAGGAATGTAAGAAACTACATGAACTTCAAACGCATACCCACACTGAGAAGAACAGTGGCAGAAATTAGGAACAGTTCCAGGAACTAGATGAAAAGCAATATGGCTGTTTTCAAGGAACAATCTAGGAACAGATTTTTTTACAGCCTTCACAACACAATAGATGCACCGGGATCTTTAAGTCTTTCTTTCCTACCAAATGTTCCTGGTACTGTGCAGCTGTTAATGCATATGGACATGTGTTTCTCACACCCTTCACCATATGCTGAAAAAGACTGAAACAACACCAGGGTTGTTAACACTACTGCTGGTTTAGTTGTTATGCTGATCACACTTTTAATATCACTGATGGAAACTTGTTTTTAATGGAACTGGTTAAATTACCAACACTTTAAGGAGTGTTGGAGTGAAACCAAACAAGACTTTAAAATTACAGGTATTTTGTCAAGAGATGCTTTACGATTGTATTGTTAATTTTAAATACCACACTTCATGTTTTAGAGTAACTGAAGCTGCTGCTGCTTTTAGCTGAACTAATCCCAAGGTCTGGAGTTTATTGTGACTTTATCTTTATGAAACATTTAAAATAATTGTATTTTTTAAATTAAACAAACAGTTAAACCAGCTCATCAAATTCATCCTAAAGACCTCTGTTAGAGGGATTATGTCACACAGTGTCAGTGCATTTGTGTCCATCACAGGAAATGAGCTCACTTTAGCTGGAAGGGTTAAACCAATGACTGCACAGGTTCAACTGTCCCTCGAAACAGTGTGTGTTATTTTTTAAATGTTTCTGTATAATCATGTTATGAGATGAATGTTATTTTTAATTAATTTAAGGTCTTTATATTTCGACAGTCAAATATCCTCATATTTCCATTTGTCTCTGTGAAAACAATGAAGTTGAATGAAGAAAGACAAATACTGAAAGTGTCTCTGTGCTGTTGTTTAATCATAATTGAATCTTTTAACTGTCTTTACTGACCGTTGGGTACATTCATAGACACTAATGTCCATTTTCCTTATCATAAACTGCAAATACTGACGCCAGAGATAATTTTTTTTCCTTCTCATTTTTATGTTAAACCTTGTGTGTTTGAATGTTTAGGTTTTCTATCACTGCTACTGATTCTCCTGATGACTGAACTGAGGGAAGGACAAAATCAGTTAGAGCAGTGGTTCTCAAACTGTGGTACGCGTACCACCGGTGGTACGTCAGCAAAATTTATATTTTCACATTTACATTTTCAGTTGAATAAATCTGAAACATACCATGTACAATTAATACAACATTTAAACATAAACATCTTTCTAAACAGCTCTCCTGTGGTGGAAGCTAACAGGGAAGGCCTCTGCTGCTATATTCTAATGTTGGTCATCATGGTGGTACTCAGAGAGATCAAGGTTTACTCAGGTGGTACAGAGTAGAAAAAGTTTGAGAACCACTGAGCTAGAGGAAACATGTTGTTTCTGTTCAAATCAGACTACTGGCCAAAAAGAGAAATGCACAAGGAACAAAAAAAGACACATTTGATTTCTTTTATTAGATGAAACAGAAGAATAATTGGAGTTGGGGCCCTGATCAGGACTTATCACAAGAGAGGTGGAATCAAACCCAGAACCTTCTGGGAATCCTACTATTTCACCACTGTAACCCCCATGTTTCCAATACATAAAAATACCACAATATAAAAAAAGTCAAAAGTGTCCTGAGTGGGCTGCGGTCAGTGTTAATCTAAAAACACTTGCTACAGGTATTTGCATCACATTTCTCTTCCCTGGTCATAAACTCATCATCAATCCTCTGTGGCCACAGGTTTATGGATTAACACATTTTTTATGTGAAACAAAAACAATCATCCAATCATCTCTCTGTGTGTGTTTATCAGTGTGTCAGTTTTTGTCAGAATATGTGTGTGTTTCAGAGTGTGTGTGAGTGTGTGAGGCAGACAGGTGTGATGATTAGCGGAGCATCGTTCTTTCCTGACTTGTTGGTGCAGGGACTGAAGAAGGGGAAGATACACTCGCTGAAGGAGTCGTTGAAGGTGTAGATGTGGAGCTTGGCTTCAACGTTGTAGAAGGACACCTACAGAAAACAGATTATGGTGTGAGTTCAGGGAAACAGTACGTATCGCTGTCACTTTTCGCTCCCATCATGCACCTGTCCTTTCTCGTAGTCCACAAAGATGCCGATCTTCTGAGGTCGCATGTTGAGGTGGACGTCAGTGGAAGGTTCCGTTCTGAAGGCGTACTTGTTCCTGAGCAAAGGTCAGAAAAGGTTTTCATCTCAACGCACCTTTTTTCCACTTCTCTTCTACTTAGCATCAATTGTTAGCTGTCACTTCTCTAGCTAGCTTTTAGCCCTCTCTCTGCAAAGTCAGAGAGAGTAACATTTGGGTTTCTGTTAATTACACCTGCAACTTTAATCTGTAATAACCTGAACAGTTTCACTTGATAGATGTCTTATCTTTTACTTGGACTGTTTTTTTTTCAACATTTTTTGGCTAACTTTGAGCTCTCACAAAAGTCTTTGTTAGTTTATACCTATTAATGCAGCTTGGCCACAAATGTTGTGTGTAAATAACTCACTTGTTTCTGAGGCTGAGAAACCAGTATCCTTTCAATGGACTCACTTCCACTTTTCCTTTCCTGTTGATGGATTGCTTGGCCACTCCCAGATCCCAGTCCGTCTTCCCACCCACCTCCACCTGAGACACATGAGGTGTCAAAGTGTATTTTATTAGAGGTATCACACACACAGTGGATTAGTCTACTTCTACACTTGTCAGAGGTTCTGCAATATGACGAACTATTGGGGTTTCAGTCTATGTAGAGCCTCTTACCTCCCAGTAGTGTCTCCCAGAGGAGATGGCCTCTCTGCCCAGGACACAGACCACTCTGTCAAACCGCTCTGGATTATCTGGAAGTAGCTGGTGTTTGTCCCCACACTTTACCTGAACACAGACACGCAAGTGATCAACATCAACATCATCAAGACTAATCCATGTGTCTGTGAATCATGTCACCTTGAACCTGAGCTGCATCAATTTACCATAAAAAACAAATGGTGTCAACCACACCAAAGTCCATAGAGAAAATCAGTGATTTTAGCTCACAGACCAAAGTCCATAGAGTAAATCAGAGATTTTAGCTCACAGACCAGAGTCCATAGAGAAAATCACTGATTTTAGCTCACAGACCAGAGTCCATAGAGAAAATCAGAGATTTTAGTTCACAGACCAAAGTCCATGGAGAAAATCAGTGATTTTAGTTCACAGACCAAAGTCCATGGAGAAAATCAGTGATTTTAGTTCGCAGACCAAAGTCCATGGAGAAAATCAGTGATTTTACCCTCCAGACCAAAGTCCATAGAGTAAATCAGAGATTTCAGCTCACAGACCAAAGTCCATGGAGAAAATCAGTGTCTTACACTCTTCATATCATCAGACAGAACCAGTCTGGGATGAGCTGTATTACAGTCCAGAGTCACATTCACTGTTAAGGAGAAGAACAGAAAGTGAGGTCATCTTTATGCCTTCTGATGTTTAAATGAAGAGTGTAGTTGGTCTGTGTGACTGTTGTGTACCTGCATATTCTTGCACACTCTTCACTCCTGCAGAACAAAAACGACAATGTTAGATTCACCATCAGCTAGTTAAATGATTCCTCCTGGCTACTTTATTTAGGCTATCCTTTAAATGACTTTCCACTACAATTAAATGTGTTGATAACATTGAGCAGTGTTTTAACTGTTTGGTGTCTAACCACTAAAATAATTCAGAGATATTGCCTGTGGTCAATATGCTTGTTTTAGCTTGTTTTGTACAGGTTTTTCATGCTTGCTAGACAGACCTCAGCCAGTGTTGGATTTGCAACCCACCATTAACAAGTCCTAACTTACTACTCGGCCTCAGGCCTTGGTGTAGTGTCTGACCTAGCATCTGTTTTCCTTCAGATCACCGGTTTTCTCATAGCTGCTGTAGTCACTTATATTCCGCTGTAGTTGAAGATTTTCTTCTTTGTTTATTTTTAAACATTTGAAAGCACATCTTTCATTTATCATTTGACCGTTTCTTATACTTGTGCTTTGGCTACATTTGAGCCCTTTTTTGTTCACTTTAATCACTTTGTGAACTCACTGGGTTGAGATCGGACTGGAGTGGGATCCAAGACGGAATTCGGAAAGCCTGTGGAGATGGGAAAATAACGTGTTTGGAAAAAACAAATTTGAAAAAAATGTTTCTATTTTACTCACTGAAAGGTGAGTTAGTCTGTGAGTTAGTGCATGAGTTCACGTGTAGGTTAGATGAGTTCACGTGTAGGTTACGTGTAGGTTAGTGTATGAGTTCACGTGTAGGTTAGTGTATGAGTTCACGTGTAGGTTAGTGCATGAGTTGTTGTGTAAGCATGTGGGACAAATGTGACGGAAGAAGAATTTGGGTGGATGTTGACAAATGACTGTGGTTTTTATGGCTTCATTTTCTCTGGGACGGATTTCTGACTGCGCTGCTGTAAGGATGTGGAAAAAAACTCAAAGTGAAAAGTTGACAAACTTGACAAACACGTCGGTCTACAAAACCACCATCAAATACTCACAATAGGTCTACAAATAATTCAAAAGTAACAAATGTTACCGTATTTTTGACCAACTGTTTGTTATGTTCACATTTTTCTCAACTTTTATCATTTCACACAAATCTTTTCTGATCTTGTTGTGTCATACACTGACTTCTAGCCGTTTTGCTCTCTTTAATCTAAGTTGTTGACGTTCTGGTTTATACATTCTTACGAAAGTCCAACCTTTTTCTGCAGCATTCCTCAGCTCCTCCTGGAACTTTTCCACCTCCACCAGCAGTGTCCTATAGATGCCATTAGTTCCCAGGTCAGGGTTCACGGTCACAGCAGACCAGTCTTTAGTTGGAGGTGGAACCGAGAGGTTGGCGAAGGTCTGACCGGTGAGTACGTGGGACAGAGGGGGGTGAAGTTGAATAAATAAAAATTCTGCTGGTTTTTCAAATGTTTTCCTGTGACCTACTTTAACGCAGTGGACGTAATTGTCAGACTGAGTCAGCTGGTGGAGGGCGCTCTCCCTACTCCTCAGCTCCTCCACCTCCAGCTCCAGCTGCCTGATGATGGCGTTGGCCTGATGTTGGGTCGCTCTCCTGGTCATGTCCATCACCTCCAACAGCTGGGCCTGTGAGCGCTCGATGGCCGAGACCAGAGCGGAGAAGAGGCAGACGCTGCCAGCCGTCTCCTTCTCCACCAACAGCTGCACCTCAGACGTAAAGGTACAATTCAAATATTCACACTCACAGATAATCAAGAGACCTGACATGAATGATGACCGGGTTTGAATAAAATCCACAGATTCTTGAAAAAGAAACGGTCGATGAATGTTTAAATGTTGGATACAGCAAATAGTAAGCAACAAAATGGATACATTTGGCTAAAAGTTAGGTTAATAATAGCTAAATATTAGCTTAAAGGTTAGCAAAAGAATAAGAGTGTAAGTTTATAATCCCACTTATTCCAACTGTTTTAACCCATTAACTAGGTGTCTGTCTGTCTGTCTGTCTGTCTGTCTGCCTGTCTGTCTGTCTTGCTCACCTCCAGTTTGCTCACTGACGTTCTGATCTCCTCGATCTTTTTCATCCTCTCACCAATCATGTCCTGAACTTTCTGCGTAGACAATCTCAGCTGAGACTGAACACATAGACACATGAAAAGATAAAGAAGATAATGTTCACTTCTCACAGTCAATGAGAATGTTTTCATGAGTCAAATGGAAGTGTGTGAACCTCCCATACAAAAGTTCATAGAGAAAATCAGAGATTTTAATCTCACAGAGACAGCAGCTGTTGATCTCCTGCTGCCTTCATCACTACGTTCACATGTGTTATTTGTCACTTCACTGTTTTAAAATCCTTTGTTGAGGTTTACCTCAGTGAAAAGAATGACCACAGGAGGCAGCAGTGGACCAGTAGCTTCTGTGACCCTGTGAGCTTAAATCCCAAAGCAAAGATCTGCACTAGTTGGTTTTGACACCTTAGTGTCCGCTGGACCGATCTGTCCTACATTGTAATAATTTATGTCAGCATAGTGTGTTTTTGTTCTCAAACTCCTTTCTTCCACCATCACGACACCTTGTTTTCTGTGTTTTGTGATAAACACTGATGAGAAAAATAAGGTTCCACCTGGTTTTCCATCCACTGCTCTGTGACTGACACAGTGTCGTGATCCTGGTGATGCTGCAGCTCACACTCTGGACAGATACACAGCTGATCAGTCCTGCAGTAGATCTGACAACAGTGAACGGAGAAATCAGTGATTTTAGCTCACAGACCAAAGTCCATAGAGAAAATCAGTGATTTTAGCTCACAGACCAAAGTCCACAGAGAAAATCAGTGATTTTAGCTCAGAGACCAGAGTCCATAGAGAAAATCAGTGATTTTAGCTCACAGACCAATTTGGGTTTTGGTCTGTGTAGAAGGTTAGTGTAAAACAAATCATCAATCTTTTACCATAATTCCTCTGTTGTGCAGCTCACAGATGGAGGCGCTCTGGCTGCTGGCAGCGCCGCTCACCGTGAACCTCCTGCGGCTGCCAGCGCGAGCACAGTTAGAAGAAGGTGGAGCCTGTGAGGAGGTGTGGCTTAACACGGTGGCGATGGGACTGCTGTTGGGAACAGAGGACACCAGAGGGGACTGGACCAAATGCTCCTCTGAGGAGGTGCAGACACAGACAGGCAGGTCAGTGATTGGTTCTCTTCTCAAACAATACCATCTTCACTTCATGAGGAATTAGTGACATTTGATGGGCAAGTATGGGATAGTATAAATGTATTTTCCCTGACCTTTTGGACTTTTTTTTATCTTTCTTTGGACTAGTAAAATGTAACATAATCTTTCTTGGCTAAAGAATTCACCGTACAGCAGGTAAAAGGCTAACCTTTAGCTTTTCAGAGCATTTTGTTAATGTTGTCTTTAGCTTTTGAGGCTAACCTGCTGTTATCTTGCTGTAACTTTAATTAACTTTAAGCTAATTTTAGGAAGCTAATTTTTAGCAGTGATTCACTTGTGGTTTGGAATCCTTTTGGAACTACTTTGACTATAGGCTAACCTTTAGATCTCAGCTTCTCCTGCCACCTATTCTTGAGGACAGATATACAGTATATATTTAGTGTATTTTCTGTTTTTATTTTGCTGTACTTTTTGCTTTTTATTTCTGTTTGATTTGACTCTTTGTAGCCGTCCATCATTGAGGCAGCATGGACATTTGACGGTCATGTTATGATAAAGTCAGCTTTGACTGAAACGGTTGTCTCACCCAGCGACTGTGGGTTGTCAACGATCGGCACAGCCTTCGTCGTTGTCACGTTTCGAGGAAATTTGTTCCTCAGCTCATTGAACAAATCATCTGGAATGACTGCGTCACCTCCTCCTCCTCTGCCTCCTCTTTTCTTCTCTAACCCTCCTACCCTTTCTCCTCCACTCATGGATCTGAACTGCTCTGTGATCTCCCTCAGAGTTCGGTTAATCTGCAGCTCCGGACGCTTCTGGAAAGTTTTCTTACACAGAGGACACTGACACACCTGAGGAGAAGGGAGGAGAAAAGAGGAGGGTCAGGAAGGATGGATGGCTGAATGGATGGTCTGTTTGTTGTCGTCACCTTGGCCTGGTCCCAGTATCTGCTGATGCAGCTCATACAGAAGCTGTGACCACAGGGTGTAGACGAGGGGTTGATGAAGACCTCCAGACAGATGGAGCACTGGAACTGCTCATCGCACAGGAAGC